GAATCCGTTTAAACGTGTAATCGTGGGGGCCTTAGTTGGGATAGCCACGAGGGTGTCGATGTTTCTGCAATATACGGGCAAAGCGATTATTCAGATAACCTAGTCCGAAATGCTAGCCGATTCTTGCCCTTGAGGTCGGTGAACATGGTCAGCAGGGTCTTCCTGAAGGCCAGATATTTAGTAGAGATGATATTAGTGTTAAAAGTGGTTGCGCGAAAGACCAAATCTGGGACATCAGGGCCATTCATGATCCGGCTGGCACAGATTTTGGAGTATATTCCATGGCATGGCATGTCCAGATAGTGTTTGAAGTTGCCAGCAATAATATAGTAACCACCAGGAAATCAAAGCTAGTTCTCCTACTGTTGTTAGTCTAGTGGACCTGACTCGGGACGTTGAAGCCCTGTTAGGTTGGAGGGTTTTCTGGGGATGAACTCAAGGATGCGCAAAGTCGTGATCATGAGTTGGAGCATGTTCTTGATTGGTTACGTAATGGCACAGAGGCTGACCCTTCAGCTATATTTCAGTCAAGTCCAGGCACAAAATACAGTGCATACCAGTCCCGAGTCAATATGTCGAAGAAGCTGCTCGTTCTGTCGTTGATCAGTTCTTCTCCAGATTTGGTATGCCATTTGTTATCTTTTCTGACAAGGGTTGCAACTTTTAATACAAGATGTTTTGTGAGTTGCGTAAGGTACTAGAGAGCCACAAGGCTCGTACTACACCTTATCGACCTTCCGCAAATTAACAGATGGAAAGGTATAATAGGCCTCTCATGGATGTTGTTCGCTGTTTAACTGGAAAATCTCAGAATCAGTGGGACCAACAGGGTTTTATGTTTTATCATACAGGGACTTCCTGAAGGCCAGATATTTAGTAGAGATGAAATCAGTGTTGAAAGTGTGATTTGTTTTATCGCCCACCTGATAAGATAAGATAAAATCGAATGATTTGTTTTTCGCCCACCTGATAAGAAAGCTTTGCATCGGTAGCAAGCTTTAATCTCCTGGTGGTTACTATATTATTGCTGGCAACTTCAAATCCAATCTGGACATGTCATGCCATCGAATACGTATACTCCAAAATTCTGTGCCAGCCTTAATACATGTACTTCTTTCCCCATACGACCAAGAAACAAGAGCCAGCGACAAGGAGAAACTGAGACAGCTCTTCCAGCCATCTCACCAATTGCCCTTGTGGCTCCAGGAAATTCATGTACAGACTCAATCAAACTTAGTCTGCAATTCTCTTGCAATTTTGTTGTGATTAATGCTTCCGATGGATCACTTTGTTTCCAGATTTTTTTACAGATTGCTGGAGCACTAAGGTCGTCCGTCAATCGAATGATTTGTTTTACCGCCAACATGATGATTTTGGGTAGGGAAGTAAATACTCCAGCAGCAGCGTGATGTTCCCATCAAAACATCACGATAAACATGTTTGTTTGAAAGCTTATCTATACCATGGAGAATGTCCGCGAAACAGCTTGCCAGTCCATGAAAACTGCTTCAAATAGAATGAAGCGTAATTATGATATGCGCATTCTTAAGGGAAATTAAGAAGTTGTATTTGCTGGACACTGCCACAGTGAAAAGCTAATGTAAGAAATTATCTCTCCCTTGGACAGGCCTGGATGTGATTGTCTCTAAGCTTTCCTCTTACCACTTTAGGGTAAAGCTCCGTAATGCGGTATTCGTGGTAAATCACGACTGTATTAAATCTTGCAGGGATATGGACCTACCTCGCTGAATAACGGTGTTTCAATAACACCGCACTGATAATGATAAGCAAGCGACCTATGATGATCGTGTGTACTGCTTTTATCGCCAACCTTGGCAATGCAATGCGTGGACAGTATGTTGCACTTTCTTTCCAGTACTGTCCATGACCAGGCTCAATCAAACCTACTCTGCAACATTTTCAATTTTACCGTTTTGGACTTTCTTTAGGGATTATATTTCTCTTTATTTTATGACCCAATGTGAATACTGTCATGAGTGTTACCACGTTTCTTGCATGATATCACGCAAACTGAAGCTTTTGACATACATTTATACAAATGTAAGGATTTTATTAAGCCTTTTAAGAGGGTTGATACATAACCAGCCATTTATGTGTCAACACAGATGTCAGCAGAGAATGTCTAAGAATCAACTAAGTCAAAACGGCTAATTCCGTCCTTGGAATTAGCCACCTCGATAACGGCCCTGCCAGATAATCCAAAAGCTATTGAGGCCTTACTGGGCCAGGTGGTATAAGCCCAAAAATTCAAAGGGAAGGGCTGGACTAGAGATCTGGATGATGAAGGCTCAGGATGATGGATTCGAAGTCAATGTCATTGGGAGCAGCAACAATTTGCTGTGACCCTGTCAACCATCCTTCGGATTCACTGATCCAACCCTGGATTTATGAGGGGTTGTCGTTATCTGTAGCATTCAAAACAAAGATGAAGGTCACAGATGAGAGGTCGGAACGCTTGGTCAAGATTTTGGATAATCCCAATGTGGCCGGCCTCAGAGAGGTGGGAAATGATCGCTCTTAACCGACTGAAACCTGGACTGACCAGATCTTCGGTCTGGAGAGGCTATCCAGAGCAGATCCTGGTGTTACATGCGCGCAGCAATTTGGAATTGGTGATGAGGCCATTTTGTCCCTAATGTACCAACTAGAAAGCCATCCCAAGGTACAGAGGGAGCAGTTGATCCATCTCCACTGCTTCTCTTGAACAGAAAAAAAATCTGGGAACAAAGTGATCCCTCGGAAACATAAATCACAATAAAATTAAAAGAGAATTGCAGACTATGTTTGATTTAGTCTGTACATGAGGGATAATGCATACGTGCAACACCCCACCCTCCAAGACAGTCATGGATCGCTGGCTTGTAAAGTTCCCAGGCTTAATGTGGGTTGAACACAGTGGTCAGACTGTTCGGGCCAGCTATCCTTGATCAGATAGCTGTTGTCTGTGATATTCAGCCTATCCGAATGTTAGTAGGAACTGATGCGCCCTATTTTGCACCGGCGGGGTACCAACATTCAACTCTGGCCCTGATTGGAACGACAGCTGCCTGTGTTGCCTATATGACACACCGTGATTGGTGGGAAAATCTGCAGCAAGCCACTGCTAATACAGAACGCCTGTATCTCGATCGGAAGGCCATTGTCTCCAATTGAGTACTTGTGGTAGCGTGCTGGCTGGAAGGGGTCGGCCCACTCATGTAGGCCAGGTTGTCCAGATCTCTGGTTCATGGCCTAGTACGAGTACCGGTATAAAAATAGGAGAGAAATAAAGAATCCCGTAAGAACACAAAAACGACAAAAATGAAAACGTTGCAGGCTCGGTTTCATTGAGCCTGTTCATGGACGGTAATGGAAAGTTCAAATTTGCCTGTCCACTCCCCTAGCACCGCTTTAAGCAGTATGCATCAGTATGAACCCGGGAAGCTCTAGTTTGCCCTTAGATTAGAGAGCGTTGGTTATTGCCACTGATTGGTTAACTTCCGTGAGCTACAGACCCCTCTTGAAGAATAGGACGGGGAAGAGTGTAGTACCGTATGATATATGTTCCGGAATTTAACGGAACGTTCCGAACTTACTGAAACTAGTGAGGTTTCGGCAGTGAGTGACGCAATTTTGTAAGGTAACAAAATAAAATAGTGATAAACAGATTCCCCCAACACGGCAAAATTGTAAAATGTTGCAGGCTCGATTTGATTGAGCCTATTCATGGACGGTACTGGAAAGTGCAAGTTACCGTCCACGCCCCCAATCACCGGCTTAAGCAGAATTCAACATTTAAACACAGAAATGGTGAAATTTTGAATTTAGAAACATCCGCAGATGTGTTCACACGGCGGTTATCATGGAACCTTCAAGTCTAAGAAGAAACGGTATATTCCTGCTTGTCGCTGACCATCCTAGGAAGGAAACTCGACTGATTGTTTTATAAACCCTTTTGAAATCAATCTGCATAGCTTCTATAATAACACTATAGACACTTCACTTTAGACAACGCTATATCAAAACTAAATACAAAGACATCATCAACCAAAGATTTATACAGAAAACGAAATGACTCGGAGAAAAATTCACCTTCTGCAAGAAATGTGACTTAGATTAAGAAACATGAAGTAATCATTTTGGGTGATTCAGCTACAAAAGGACTATTTAGAACGAAACTCACATCTGGTAAATGTCACCATCAAATCAACAAAAGAAGCATCTATCAAATATATCAACAAAGTAATAACTGATAATAAATCACATCAAAAGATGAAAAAAGAAGCAGATATAGTCGTCGTGCACACAATCATTAACAAGATTTTAAATACACACACACCTCAGTCTATATGTAAGGAATTCAATAAACTTATTTCTTACTACAAACAATAACCCCTAAAGCAAAATTGATGTTTCATCTATCCTACCCAAAAGAAAATATCTATTGTCAAGAACATATATCGTTGAAGAATAAAGTCTTCTGCAAGAAAAAAGAGTTCCTCTTTATTGACAGCACCAGTGTCTTTCCAATAATAAATGATAAGGTTAATCAAAGTCTCTTCTATGATGAAATCAGGCTAAATAAAGAAAGTTCAACTGCACTTGGAAGACCACTTAGAGCAGGAATAAGAAAAATCCTTAGCATCGCTACCACTTCTAGAGAACAAATAGACAGGCCTTCCAGAGAGCACAAAAACTTTCGAAATGCCCAAATGAATGTACAAAATTACTATCCAGCAACCGTTTACTATATATAATATAAACAAGGTATATATAACTCTCCGTAGCGTATTTCCTGCTGTAGTATGCAGTTTGCACGTTCAACCCTAATGAAAGTGTTCAAAGACTTTGAGGAAATTAAAACTTTTCTGTATTTTGTTTTCACTAAAACATTCAAACTGCTTTAAAGGTACATTCTCAGTTATGAATAAGGTTTCCATCTAAAGCTTCCATACACTGTTCTTTATGCTTGTAGGCTATAACAAATTTTAAAAAAGACATCCCCGAGGAGCAATTTTTTGTCAAGTTTTTGTCGCTCTCGTAGACTGTCCTTTTTCAGAGTGTCACAATAATTCTGACAATAAAAAATCGCAAAAAATTCCAAGCATAGCTGTTTTGGCAATTAATATTACTTCATTAGAATCTTTAAATATCATTTCGTTTCTCATTTATATCTATAAACAAAGCATACATACCTGATCCATCTAATGGTTTCTTGCTTGCGTTGCAAATGTATTTTGGTTTTCTGTTATAAACGTAACTTTGCAATGCTTTGATGTTTTCGACAAAACTCTTCTCTAAGGATGTTTCATCTAATTCCTCGATTTTCTGAAGATTCTCTCCCAAAGCTGGTTGTGCAATCGTAAAACATTTTCTCTTTGGAAAATAATCCTTGATATATTCTTTAATGGTGTTGAATTTCTCTTGTTTTTCCTGTTGTTTCTTTGATAAGGTAGACACTTGTACTGATTTAAGGTTATATTCAAGGTACTCAGTGGCAGTTTGGACTTTTCCATCCTTTGTATTTTTCAAGAAAAAATCTCTGATGCACATAATCAGAGTGGGAGAAGCAACTTGGATTGTTTTGGCATTATGTTTGTCTTCCGCTTCATCATCTAAAATTTTTATCGTGTCGGATAGTGAAGCTATGAAACTTTATTCATTAAGGAATTGATAAGTACTGAACATTGCGAACTCTCTTTACAAAATCTTTTTATTTAGAATAGAATAAATATTCCAAAAAAAGTATTTATGCATTATTTCAGGGAAATCATTATGTATGACCTTATAACAAGTTCTTGTCAAAGATAGCTCAGGCACTTAATGTTTTTATAGATATCTATCTGATTCTTCCTTATTTTATGAAGTCTCCGTGCTTGTATAAACCACAGTAGTAAAAAACCTTTAAAGTACACTTAATCCAGGAACATACAAAACGTGTTTTTATTGTTCAACATTATGTCAATCTGAATTAGTCTATTCAGGCATCCAGTGCGTTTTCTTTAAAGTAGACATGCATAAAACAAACAGCTGCTAAAATATAGCTATGTTGAAAGGTACTCATACTTTTTCTTATTATTTATAATTTGCTCTTACGCTTTATTTTTCTTGATACTTTCCTTGATCAATCTTTTCTTCAAGAACGATCAACTTTGCAAACAAGCGACAGAAAAGCGATCTATTCCTCACTTAAATATATACTGAAAGGATACGCTAACTTGTCCAGGGTTGAGTAGTCGAACACAGACTTTACATTTATGATAAGTGTACTGCTCATCAAAAGTGTAAGACAAAACATATTACTGTCATGTTCGGGATCTCCCTAAAATTGAAATGAGAAATAGTATTCATACAGTTAATTCATAATATAAATTACTGGTAGGAGATCAGACGGTGTAGTCTCGACTTCCGATTGTCTTCTCTCATAGAAGTGATGAATCATTCTATTTCTTTAATGAATTTATTGTTGCATATGCAGATATCTATCAACGAACACGAATGTGTACTTGAAGTCCAGATCCATATCTTTTGAAAAAGCATAATTGTGTGCTTCATGTGAAACCTCCCTTAGACAAGGGACGTTGGTAACGTCACTAACTCTGTTACAAATTCTTTTTTGTTTTAACCTAAAATGTTAGAATAGTATATTTAACAAAAAGTAGCGCATGGTTTGCAAAATGGAGAGAATATTCGTTTATTTCTCCTTTAACTAGTAAGCCGAGTAGTATGTCGTTCTCACGATAAAGCTTAATCTTTCAGATGAGGCACTGTCTTTTTGTAATCATACATTACCCTAAAAAAAGTAACTATGTTAAATCTTTGATTTCTTCCCTTTTGTAAGTAAAAGTTACATCAAACAATTGGTATTACTCTAGACGATGCACATGAATTCTTTTTAATTATATGCCAAGGCTACGTGTGTTTAAGAAACAACAAGTAAATGTAACCTTTTCAGGATCATCTAACCCCTCTGTGTCTAACAAAACTAACACTTGGTCCCATTGCGTTGGATGAGGTCTGCACCAGATCCATATCCCTTTTGTCTCTGAATGAATTGTATCGCCAAGATTAAACCCTTAAAGTAAATGATGGACGATTTAGACAAATGTTTTGTCTTAAAAATATTTGGTCATGCTTAACATTAACATATATAGGGTTTGGTTTTGCCGTGAGTCTTTAAACTAGTACGCATTTGAATTTACATGAAATGTTTGCTTCAAAGATAAACATACTTTAAAAATATCATATATTGCTGTTTTTACTGCTTGCGAGGGATCATCCCTTTTCCAGATTTCAAAAATTTTATTTAAATGATAATGCATGACATTTATGAACTGATATAGCTGACTTACCTGTTTTCTCACCTGCAACCCAGTTCATTAAATAGGATTTTCCAGTTCTATACAAACCACAGACACCGACAACATTGATTTTCATGTTAATTTGTGAAAGTTGAGACAACACATCGCCATCTAACTGCAACAGTCCTTCTTCATCCGTATAAATCAATCGTTGCGGTATATCAAAAAGCTTCGACCTGCTTGTTCTGAAATACGTTTAGCAGCAGCTAAATACCAAAGTTTTTACTAATCATAGGGATTATATTCATAATTTATCCTACATGTTCACCAACATTTGGTTTTTGTTTTATTTCTGAACAAATACACAAATATATTTAAAGTTTACACAAATTTGAGCATTTTAGGTGGAAAAAAATGTTTTATATATGAACAAATGCACTAAGTTATTTAAATTTTACACACATTTGAGCAGTTTTGGATGGAAAAATTGTTTTATATATGAACAAATACACAAAGTTATTTAAAGTTTACACAAATCTGAGCAGTTTGGGGTGGAAAAATTGTTTTAAATATGAACAAATACACAAAGTTTTTTTTAAAGTTTACACAAATCTGAGCAGTTTGTGTGGAAAAAAAACCTTTTGAAATTTACTCTACAAACAATATTTATAAAAAAAAATAAACTTACTGATTTCCGAGTGACATATTTCCCTGAAAGAAAAGAATTAGAAAAAATACAATGTAAAACATTTAAAGTGACTGGAGATAGACAGAATACAAAATTTATGTTACAATGATAACATCGCCTACATACTAGAAACCAAAGAAAAGGGAACAATTTGTCACATTCATGTGTCAATCAGAACACTGAACTGTCACAGGTGTTGAATATAGTCAATATTGAATAAATAGTTTTTGTTAAGAAACGTGTTATTATTCGTATATTTCTTTATAAATTCAAATAATGTCCCGAATTAATTTTAATTCAGCGGCTTATTAAAGTGAAAAAAAGGGAAGCTGATTTGGTACTTTTTCCCAAAAGAAAACAAATGTTTAAACATAAGCCGCAAAAATTTTAAAACAATTAAAAGACGTTTTGAAACTACTTTTGTTGGGTTTAAATAGGGCAGATTCCGCGTTTTTCTGTTAAAAAAATTCCCCGTTCGAAAATGAATTCAATAATTGTAGGTAAGAGGGTCAAGAACCCTAGATATGCTCTCCAAACTGCAGCCTTATTAAAATCCCATTCAATTTGGCAAATTTCTACTTAAAAGGTTCAATTTAATGTAGTTCTTTTTATTAAAAAAAAATCCCTTCCATGTGTCTGTGTGTGGACATAACCAGTAAAGGTTTATCTACGGTTACAAAAATGTCTCTCACCCAACGTAGACATAAAATGCATGAAATGCAAAAAAATGAAAAATACAAAAGTAGAACCTTGTTCAGTTCAAATAAATACACGGACGTATTGTAATTTTATCATAAACCTAGTTACTTAGGCAATTCATAAGCAATAAAAATAAAAAAAATCTAACTACAGGAAACTGACACTGATTTTTTTTCTCAAATATTTTGCGTATTTAACGGTTTAGATATTTTAGTATTCTATACATTTAAATGTTAAACACATTGAAAAATATGATAAATGTAATTTTCATAAGTTGAACATACCATTTGACTTTCAATTTGTATATCATCTTCTGCCATGTCTGACCCGAAGTATTCATATTCATGTTCGTTAGATGCCATTGTCACTGTAAAATAAATGCTTCTTACTCGCACATAAAACAAGTACAGTCAGCGTAAGCAATCGGAATCACCTTATTAAAAGCATTATTTTTCAAATATATTTGGAGTGCTTTAGGTTGTAACATTCATATGACATAATCTAATACAAACAAGTGTCATTTCTTTTCTAAACATCACAGAATTGTCACACTGCTTACCAAAGTTTTCTTCAAATCTTGACATTAAATATTGAAGAAAAAAATAGAAATCAACATGAAAAAAAAAATCCGTTATTAAAAAAATACTTGACAAACCTTAAACAGTAAAAACAGTAAATGTCATTTGAAAATATTTATTCCTTCATTTAAAACAAAGGTTGTCTAAACAACTTGTCATTCAAGTATAGTTCTGGATCACTCAAAACTGTAGTAGGATTTCATCCAAACTAAAAACGCGCTCGATGTAGATCAAGCTCAATTAATATTTCATGAAAGTCATTCTATATTATTTCCGATATAATTGTTGGTAATCGATCTGGTGCTCCAAATGGTTAGTATTATTTAACTATACTTTCATCTTTATTACCAGACAAATAATCCAGGTAACTGTGTATTTTACATTTACTATTATTATCTTTCTTGTCTGCGTTTTCCCAGATGGGAACTTATACATATTCCATTCATCGAAATTGAAAGTACGTGTGCATTAAATATATCAACTGTTAAAATAATTAATAACAGATAATTTGAAAATTATACTTGCGTCATGTAAAGATTTTTTATAGTTTAATTCTATATATTGATCACAATCAGTTACATGTATAAAAATCTATATCATCAAATTATAATGCAGACAACAGCCTTTATTTGAGAAAAAATGAATTTTCTTAGCCTTTTATATAGGTTATATGTACGACATTATTTTCAACAAAAAGCAGTCGTTAACAAACGTGCATTATTTTATGTACATGTATAAATATATAACCGTTTAATGTGATTCCACATTGTCGGCCATGTTTGATGGGTAGGCCAATTTTATATAAAGACTTCCAAGTCTATGCTTGAAGGACTAATATACATCGAACAACTAAAAAATATTACAATAAGAATACTTACCTTGAATGGGCTGAAAACCAAGTAAAATATTTTGCAATGATTAGTGCCTGCGCCTTTTTTGAATAGAAAAATCCAATTTAAAGGCTGATGTTGTGCAGATGAATGTTATTTTTAGAAGCGAGATCTGATCACGTATACAAATCTAAAATATGATTTCACTGTTGTACAGCGTCCACCGGAAATAGCCCCTCAAAACATCGAAAACGAAAGTAAAAAGGTGAACGTCGACTTCACCCGAGGTAATGTTTTAACTTATTTCTCCATCATAACTTAATTTTATGAAGCTGTATATGTCTGGATTAAGAGCACTATTTGCCCTTTTCTGCAAATTGAATACTTTTTGTTAAATTGGCGGTAAATTGTTGTGTATTTGTTGACATTTGCGAGAAATGTTGAAATTTATCACTAAATCAAACACAAAACACATTTTCTGTATCAAAATCCGTATTATATACAAAATATAGACTTCCGTCTACTTTTATTTGAGTGGTCACCCATCAGATTGATCTGCTTTAAGCAAAATTTACGAAAAAACAGTCTTGACTTGTGTAGAAAAAACAATTTTAGTGAACGGGGTGAAGTATTTTAATGTACATGGTTTAGTAGAATGTGTACAGTGTCGCAGTCACATAATTTTAAAGTTTATAGTTTTTTAATGAGCTTACCACCAATCGGATGTAAGGAATGACACAAGGTCATGAATGTTAACTTAAATAATTACTTAAAGTGACATTATGCTCATATTTTCATGTTCAAGTTGAGCTGAATTGACTTTATATTTGAAAAGATTGACTGTCAAAATGGTGTTTGACTAACAGTTGACATTGGAAAATGTTTAGGATAAAATTATAAATATGTCTAAAATTAAAAAAGACTGCCCCACTCTTTTTATAAACTGCGTTAAAGGTAAATCCTAAAGGATACTTACAGACATTTCGTTTGGATCTGTGAGTTATTTATTGTTTATGCGAACTTAATTATAAAAATAAAAGGAATTATGGCAAAATGAAAACTTATTTTGACGTTCACCCGTTCACTTACTATATATACCCTTGGATGGGCATAATGTACTATTACATGAGAATGTGTCATTCCATGTAGACACTTGCTTTCTTACAAAAACAGTAGGACACTATTTAGATCAAAATAAATCTAGTCAATTCATGTATTCTTTATAATATGTTTTTGTTTTTGGCGTCCGCGCCGAAGCGCGGCGCCCTTATGGAATGAAATCAGATTTTGTGAAAGGGCGACAGCAACTTCTCGAGCCCTATAGTCGATCATGATAAAAGCCGATCATTCCGATCGGTATTAGGGTGCTTGATTAAAAAAAATGTCTCGATATGTACAATGCGAACTGGAGAATTTCGCAATGCATGAAATAACCTTTTTCGTCTCTTCGGGGGTTTTTTATTTATCATTTTGTAGTACACAGTGGGTTATTAAGGTATGTTAAAATAGAATAATGAGTTGATGGCCTAAACATTCCGAAAATCTATTTATAGAGGGATGTACTGCTATCGGTAATTCCCGGTCTCTCCCGGTCTATTTTGACCGGGATTTACTAGTGACCGGCGAATAGTATCACACGTTTATTGTCCGGTCTCTCCCGGTTTTGGAGTAGATGTTTGATATCGTTACAGAACAGAACAGAATTTTTGTTCCAAAATGAATGTTTGTCACTTAGTTTGGTTACAATAATTAATAAACATAGATTAACTCTCAAATTTATTGATTATTATTATACATAAACATACAATTCGAAAAAGCCCAACAACAACAACAATAGCATGTTTCATTTTATCTATATGAGATAAAAACAATAAATATGTACAATAATTGAGAAAAAGATACATTGTTATGGTATAAATATGACACTTTCAACTTTGAAACATTTTATTTAATTTGTTATTCGTGTTAAGTAAAGATGCCCAGGAATTATTCAAAGTTACAAATTAGATTTTATGAATTATTCAATTGATTGATAATTTAAAAAATTGATAAAGAAAAATACAAATGTACATGGTTTAAGAATAAGCAATATTATATATTGAAAGATTAAGCCCAATTTACTTTGACTTTTTCCAGTTAAATTTTGACTTATAATCGTCGGTCAATATGACAACTGAATTCTTAAAATTTATTTTACAATTTTAATAAAAAAGGAGTAGTAAACGTGAAAACTCAGTATTAAAATAGCACATAAAACACGAAAAAAGAGAGGAAAACAATATTAATAAAATCTGTATTTTTTTATATTAAAATAGATATTACAATTATTGTATAATAAACAATTATGCTCAACATGATCAACATGGTAATATAACCAGTGTCATATTTTTACTAAGTGTGAACAGATACCTTAAGAGGGGGTCTTCGCTAAAAGCGATAACATATTAAGAGACAATTCCACAAGTGTGGTGTTGATCATGCGTTACACATATGGATTATAGATGATTGTATACATGTATATCCGTTGCTATTAATAACCACGATCATAAAGAAATAACAAGTAATATTCTAATCTCTTGCATGCCAATCAAAGTTTATAATGTCTTTCGTCCGTTCATTCTAGTAAAAACCAATTAACCATTGAAAAGGTTATAAGAATATCTTGTCATCATATGTCTACTAGTTCATCTTCACTTTCTGCATTTCTTGCTTGGACGCCCTTTGATGCTTTGCATCAATGCTTTTCTTGTTGTTCTTTTTTATGTTATTTTTGTGAGAGGATGCTAGCAAATAACTTGAGATTTGACAGTTCCTAAGGAAAACAAACACATGTTTTCATACCCAAACAAATTAAACCTGACCACACAATGTTGGACAAACTAAAGCTAGCCAATAATTAAGGAGGTAATACAGCACCCTCATTACACCCCCTAATATCAAGGTATCTGTAACGAATGATATAAGAGGAAGTCAGGACAACTTTGAGTGATGCAATTGCACAATGTACTTTGATCTGTTCTATATCATTTGTTGATTCTCACTCACTTACTTTTTAATGTAATTTGTTGTAATGTATATTATATAGAGGATATTGAATGAGTTTAAGTTCAATACTGAATTTATTGCACGAGTTGAATAAAATTTTATTATGCGAGCCGTCACGTCAAAATATATGCACGGCCGTGCAATGCCATTTCACGGAGTCGCAAAATCGGCACGTGTGTGTGATAAATATTTTTATTTGGAAAATAAAGGCAAACCGCCAACAAAATTGCTCTAAGAGTGGGTCCTGTTTGAAATGTAATGAAATGCACAGCTTTTAGACTATACCTATTTAAGACAAATTATGCAATTCTACTGTAAAGTTCTACCAATCTGTTATAAGGGTTTATTGAGTTATATATTTTTCCTATTTTTCCTAACTCAAAGTAACAAATAAAAAGTTGTCTAGCAGGATGGAAACGGTTTACTATCATTCATGTTACGAATATATAATTATTTTTAAAAAAAAGTTATCCTTTGAAAAATATTAAAATGTTTCACTTTACGATCCCTGATCCCGACATCGATCGTGAATCCTCGTACTTAAGTTTATATTTTGCAAAAAATAGCATTCGATCGTTTACACACTACACCACGTATTCTCCATCTACAACCCGTACAAAACCGTGCTAGGCTCTGTACACAAGTCAAAACTGTTTTTCGCATATTTTGCTAAAAGCAGCTCGAGTTGATGAGTGACCACTCAAATACAAGTAGATGGAAGTCTATATTTTGTATTAAAGGCGGATTTTGATACAGAAAATGCGTTTTGGGCTTGATTTTGTGGTAAATATCAACATCGTTCGTAAATGTCAAAAAATACTCTACAATGTATCGCCAATTTAACAAGAAGTATTGAATTTGCAGAAAACAGCAAATATTTCTCTAAAGCCAGATATATTCACCTTCACAAAATTGTTCAGTTTTAAAAAATCGATTAAGTTATGATCGAAAAATATTAAGTTGAAACATTAGCTCGGGTGAAGCTGACGTACACTTTTTTACTTTCGTTTTCGATGTTTGAGGGGTATTTCCGGGGGACGCTGTACAACAGTGATTATGTAATTTATGTTCACCATTTTCATTGGCTATTCGAATCAGGAAGAAAATCAAATTACCAGCAAAAACCCTGTAATATGTTTTTTTCTAATTTAACTAATTTAAGATAATAGTACATGTAGTATATTGAGTTTGTCTTTTTTTATTTGTTTATGCAATGTATTTTCTTTCTTCTTTATGTTTTTGATATTTTATTGCAGTGATGTATACGTGTATATCCCATAAAAGCAAAAAGGTACAAAAAACAAGAATAAAGATCAACAAGGTAACGGCAACGCTCACAGGACGCAGCCCCCGACACACCCAAGCAGGGCACCAAGAATGCAACAAACCAAAACCGTGAGCGGACACATTGGCGGCGAAAGGAGAGGGACACGTAAAGTGTGAAATAACAAAAACCAAAACGAGTCCAAATTGGAATTAAAGGAATAAGGGCTGTAAGGGTGAAAAGGGGAGGGGGGTAAAAATGAGAGAGGGGGGTGAGAAAATACCTACCGTCAACAACAATCACACATGACAGATATCACAAAACATGTAAACAACAATACAGACATAAAAAACACGTGAAGGAACACAGAGGGGTACCGCCTGGGAACGGTCGGTGGTAGTCAAATTATAATTGGGTAATAACCTCTCGATCTTAATAAACCGTTTGATAATTTTAGTGAAAACAGCAGAAAAATTACTATGACCCATGATCCTACGAAGTTTGTAAACCACATCTCAATAGAAATCAGGTTTGCTAATACCTAGTCGTAAAAGAGTTTTCTTAAATTGTTAATAATAGAAATGTTTAAATCAAAACGTCTGAAGAGTAAGTCTTATTCAATTTAAGTTCACTGGGATATATTTTAGTAACCATTTGATCGAAATAAGGATTATTCATGTTAAGGATATCATCTAGGTAGCGGAAAGTGTTATTAAAAGCATGTATTATTCCCTGATGTGAAGAGTAGGGGAAAGACTTAACATAAAATCCCTCTCGTAGCAGTAAAGAAATAATTCAGCTATCAGGGGTGCACAATTAGTTCCCATTGGAATACCTATTACCTGTTTGAAAATTGTATTACCAAACCTGACATAAATGTTATCTAATAAA